AAAGAATCATGTATTTTCTAAAAAAGATTGTTAGAGGCTTAGAAGTCTCATAAGAATTTCTGCCTCAAGCCTTTACTACTTTGAGGAAGGAGAAAGATATGGTGGACATGAGAAAGTAAATTCATTAACAGAACACAAGAAACGATACACATAGAACAGGTCAAAAGTAACATATAGGCTTCTACTAACTAAACCGAATTACTATGAAACAAAATTAGATAATGTGATGTTCTTTGAGGGTTGTGCTACAAAGGGATACAAGTGATATATACAGGAGAATATGGAGAAAATCAGGCTAGGCTTAGTTGTGGATCAGGGAGGAAGGTCACTAGAGAAGGGGGTGGAAGCAGGAAGAATAAATAAGGAAGTCTGTAAAAGCCACAGGGAACCATATTATTTATATTTACTTAAAATTACATCATGTAAGCATGTGATGGTTTGGAGAGCATGCTTCCCATTGGCCAATATATTTTAGTACTCGGCCCCTAGTTGGTAGAATATTTGGGAAGGATTATAATATGTGGCCTTGTTGGAAGAAGTGCTTCACTGGAGGTTGGCTTTGTGGTTTTAAAAACTTACACCCTTTCCAGTGTCTCTCCCACTGCCTCCTACTTGTGGATTGGGATGTGAGCTCTCAGCAATTGTTCCAAGGTATTTGCACTGCCATCATGGAACTGTAAGATAGTTAAGCACTTTCTGAAATAAGATGCTTTGGCCATAGAGTTTTGTCACATCAATTAAAAAATAACTAAAGGAAAGTATGTGTAGGCATACATATAGTTTTTCAATGAAGTTGTGACACTTGAGGAGATAGTGATTCCCTTAAAAACCATAAACTTATATGACAGAAACCCCAGTACCAGGTGTGAGAAACGCCACTTTGCATTGTTGCTCAGGGTAGTCCAAGAGACTCCTAAAACAACATAGGGTATTGTTTTTGTCCTTGGTTACTTTCCAGAAGCTGAAAGAAAGTTTCTTTTGCTAAAGACAATAAGCAATTTGGACAAAAGATTTGGAAGACTCAAGCCGGATCTGACTTGAAAATCTCCTCCCTGAGGACGGTCCTTCAATTTCTTGGAAAGGGCTATGCAATCTGCTAAGGGAGAAAAGAAATCGGCTATGATGCCTGTAAACCACAACAATGACCAGCACAGAAAAATATTCCTTCCAGGTGCGAGCAACAGTGGACCTTATGTCTTGGTGGTAACCAGCTGTATACTTGGGCTTAACCCCCTAACCAGAATGGAAACTATAGCTGGTAACGGAAATTTAGCCAGCTATCCATGGTTAAGATATCATGGCTCTAAGAGGAAAGCTTACTACTGCCAACATACAAAACCAATAGGATTCTTAACTGAATTCTAAATACTCATCCTTATATCACCAATAGGTGTAGCTGTCACCAATCATCAAAGAAGCTCCTCTTTGCTGCAGATGGTCAAACTGCAGAGAGCAACTGATTGTGGGGTGTTGGACACCAACAGAGACAGCTGCAGCTCAACCCCCTCACCTAAGGCTCAGCAACATCACTGAAGAGGGGGCAGAAGCAGTGAAAGAGCCAAAGGAACCTGTGAGATTTGTGCTCTGCTGTGACATTGTATCTTCTAGAAATGACAGGAAAGCCACATCTATAATGTTTCAACACTGTGGCTGCCCGAACAAGGCCTGAACCTGGCCATCCATGGACATGCTAATGTGGAAGGGGGATCTCATCAGGTCCCAAACCTTAGACAAACAACTACAGGCAAATAAGGACAGCAGAGAGGAGAATTTGTGGTTTTTGGTGCTCCTGGATTAATTATCAAAAAGGAAGTGGCTAGCCCTGAAATCACATACACACCAGTAAGCCTAAATAGACTCAGCAGGTTGTATTTAAATATTTATGTGCATGTATGTACATGCATAGGTAAATATCAATAATAATTTAAAAGAGGCCATGAATTTGGGAGGGAGGGAGTGGGGCTATGGGAGGAGTTGGAAGGGAGGGCAGAAAAGATATATTTTAAATTTTTAAAATTTCAAAAATACAATTTGGATGGAAAAAAAACAATAATGGTGATTAGAAATGTGTGTGTGTGAGAGAGTGTGTGTGTGTATGTGTGCATGTTTGTACAAGCATAGTATATTTCAACTTAAACTTGAGTTCTGATCCTCAGTATTGCAGTTTAAGGATGTGGAACATTAAAAATAGTCATTTCATGTGGTTCTCTTGTGTTGTTCTCAAAACTTGTGAAATCTAACAGTTAAGCTCTTAGTATGTCATTTAATAATAGTTATAGACTGAAAAAATTCCAGTACAAACTTGGTTACTTTTAGCTTGAGTTTCACCATATCCTGCTTGACACACTACTGACTTTGGTCAATAGTAAACAAAACTGTGCCGAATTGCTAAAGTTCTTTTGTAAGTCTTGTAAAAACAAGAGTGGACTTCCCAAACAAAAGGTTTTCTTTGTAAAAATATTGAAGATATTTGTAGACATAAATGTTTTCTGAAAATTCAGAGAAAGTTTTAGATTATTGATTTTACATGGTGCAAATTCAACTTAAATGCAAACCATCTTGAACGCAAATTTAATGTAATTTGTTTTGTTTATGAGAAACCCCAAATAAGTGTGTGATTAAATCTATTAAAGTACAGCAAAGCGCAAAGAAGAATTACCATAAATCTGTTGTATTGTCATGGTTCTACAAAGGAACAAAGCTTAGAAAATGATATATATCTGTATCTACATCTGTATCTATAGAATGAATAATATAATTAAATATTTAATTACAAGCTTACATATGTAAAGGAAATTTATTAGAATGGATTACAGGCTGTGGTCTAGCTAGTCCAACAATAGCTGTCTGCCAAAGGGAGGTTCACGAATCCAGTAGTTGTTCAGTCGATGAGGTTGGATGTCTCAGCTGCTCTTCAGTATATGCTGGATTCCTGAATAAGTTGCTCCTAATACCATTGAAGAAATGGACTCGCTAGCAAGAATGAGAACAGGCAGGCAATGAGAGAGAGAGCAACCTTCCTTCTTCCATGTTCTTCATAGCCTGCTAGCAGAGAGTGTGGTAATCTAGATAGACTTTTTCCCACTTCAAAAACTTCTGGCTCAAGGTGTGTCTTCCCACTGCAAAGATCTGGATTAGAAGCGAGTCTTCCCTTTTTGAATGATTTAGGTAAGAAAAACCCTCTTTCACAGGTGTACCCAGCCATTTGTGTCTTAGGTCAATTCTAGATGTAGTCAAATTCACCACCAGAAAAAGCCATCACATCTGTCATCCTCATATAGATCCTTTTAGCACTTAACATTCTGTCCCCAGTGTTTTTACTGGACACTGCTTGTGTCCCTTTTCAGCTGGGTTTCTACCACTGTCCTACTTGAGTGTAACCAAGAAAAAAAAGTGAAAGCTGTATTTCCAAATGCATGTTATATTTTTATTGTTTTATAAGAGAATAGGTTTTAAGTAAAAAAAGTTATTGCAGTGTTATGCAGCGAACAGGGTAATTAGACAAATAATGATAGCTGTTACAGTGATTGCAACTAGAGGGTGATGCGTGCTTTTCCACATCCGAGAGCTTCTGATAGCATTGAGTAACAAACCGTTACCTCTTGAGTTCATCAACTGTTATTAAAAAAGTTTATGCATGTGTATGTAAATGCAGACATTGGCGTGCAGCATTTAAAGCATTTTTACTTCATCTTTTAAATAAATGTGTAGGTATTTAGCTCTGCGCGAATGTGTGTGGCTGCAGTGCCCACGGCGGTCAGAGGAGGCAGCGATTCCCCTGCAGTTGGAGTTGCAGGAGCTTATGGCTGCCTGCTGTGGGTCCTGGGAAGGAAACTTGGGTCTTGGGAAAGTACGATGTTCTTCAACCATGGGGCCATCTCAGTGACCGTAGAATTAATGTTTTGCTGCAGTTATGGAGAGTAACTAAATGTTGTGTATAGTAATTGGCTAAAGGCAAGTTGGAGTAACTATTTTGGCAACTACAAGGAAAACATGTAATTGTTTTGGCAACCACAAGGACAACAGTCATTTGGACCTGTTTCCTGATTGAATGGTGCCACGGTGGGCACATTGTGTCTTCTGGAATGTTATGGTTTCCTGCAAGTACAATCACGTTTTTCAGGTTTCGGGGGTGAGAGCTAGGTCAATCACAAGATGGAGGCTAGTACCAAAATAAGATTCTGCTGTGCTCAAATTCTTCATTAACTCCTCATAAACTCAATTTGGGTCATTTTGCTTTGCTCTTTAGTAAGGGAATTCAGCTTTGTGTTGCTGTCTTAGGACCTGCTTATAGCACTGAACCATATCAGTGAGACAAGGTATCATATGTGCTTGTCAAAAATTTTCTTGCCTATCCTGAACACTTGCCCCATTTCTCTCTTCCTTTGTGTTAAACTTTTCTAGCAAACATGTCAGGTTCTTGTACAATCGCTATGCTCTGGGTCTGTTCTGCTTGTGTTACCCCGTGGGCACAACACAGCCTGGAATCTACTGTTGAAGGGTTTTGGACACATCGAATAAAGCAAACGGTGCCGAGAGAGCGATGACTTGTTTTACTCTTTTCTCTTTCCTGACGTGAATATTCCCAGATGACTTCACTTCTGCGGATGCCCTTATATGGTTTCCTAAGTGTTCTCTGCGTATTTCTTTGTGGTGAGAGGCAGGAGGTGCCAATAGATAAGGAAAATAGAATGGTAAATACGCCATATGATATTAAAACATAACATTAACAAGCTTCTCTTATTTATCTTTAGGATCACCAACACTGGCTTCTGCTTTGCTTTTCTCATGTCAATCCAGTTTAAATACTTCTTAATTACTGTGTTGAATTTTGTCATTATAATTTTTTTCATATAGAGGGTATGTTGAATATTTCCATTTTCTGTTTTTTATCAACATTTTTTGGCCTATTCAATTTTTAAAGTGTGTTAATCAGTTAATTTAAAGTCCTTATGTTCTACTTTTAATTTGTATATTATTGTTTTATCTTTTATTTTCAGGACGAGCAGAAGCTACAAGAGAGTTTAGGACAAGGTGCAGCCATCATAGCTGCCTTAGTTAAAGAAAGAAATTCTGCATTCGCTGGGCAGGTCCTGGTGGCATGAAGAGAAGAGACAAGTCATCTATAAACTTCCAAAGACACTTCCCTACCACTCTCTGCTGTGCTTCCCCACCTCAGCGAGCCACCTTGTGTGTGACAGAATATCTTAGTTGTTTTCTTTACCTTGCCACTTATTAGATGTGATGCTTAGGTTGTGAAAGTAGGTTAAACTTTGTTTCCATGAAATTGTGTGTGTCAAATATAAATGGCTCCAACCAGAAAAGATAAATGGGAAATACTGCCCTCACATAAGGAATCTCTTCACTGCAGCAAAAGTCCCACTGAAGTCATAAGGTCAGCTATTCCTTCAAGGGACGAGAACTTAAGACAGCTTAGCTGCCATCTTAGTCTCTGTTAACAAATCTGCCACATTAAAACAGAGCTAATAAATAAGCTTCAGAATTATTCCTGATCCTAAAATTGTCCTCTCCCTATATGATATTGCATCTTTTTGCCTTGTTTTGGCATTCACCACACCTTTATAAAGAGAAAGGGAGCTGGGGACTAGCTCATTGGAAAAGCACTTGCCTAATGGGGATGGCGCAACATCACAAAAGAAAAAGAAAAAGCAAGCTGGTAAATACTGGGCATAAACAGGGAAGGGAAAGTCCTAAGTTTTCTTCCCCTTTATCTCTGATCACTCTAGATCTCTAAACAACCTGCAATCCCTTTCTACTCTTCTATTAGTTGTGAATTCTGTGTTTTTGGTTTCTGAGATGGTATGCTGTCATTATTTTAAAGAGACAACTTTTTCTTGGTTGGAGAGAGTCATGAAAGCTGAGTTGCTTGGGACAGTCCCTGGCTATGGTTCTCTGAAAGGCAGGGCGGTCAGTGCTGTGGAGTTAGTTACTCTTGATGCAGAAATCGTGGCCTTACTCAATCAGTATTTATGTTATTCTTACCAGTTTCTATTGGCCATACACAATATGTTGTCTTTAATAATTATACATACATACAGTTGTTAAAATGCATTTGGTTATATACATAAATTCACTTTATTGAAATGTGTTAAATCAGAACACCCTAGGACTTGAACTGCATGCAGAAATCATAAGAGCTGGATGAAATATGTTTGTTCAAGATCATCAATAAAAATGGCTACTTTCTGAAATGTCTCCCGTAGCATTCTGAATGAATTCCTCTTTATTTTCTTGAGTTTGAATATAACATCAGCTAATGTGTTACATTTGAATGGTCAAGGAGATCTCAAGTGCTGATATTGTATTAGAGCACGTATTTCACATTTAAATAATAGAGGGTAGAATGTAATGGACATTGATTAGTTACTGCAGTTCTTCTGAAACTAAACAAGTTTATTGATTGCAAACTTGGATATAAGCTAGAAAGCTCACCATTTTTCCTTGTATTAAGAAATGTAAATCAGTTAACTCGAATTCACAAGGGTGAAATATGTGTATTTGGGCTAGAACTTCCAGGTCCCTGCTGATGTGACCAGCTTTGGGTGAAAGGCTCTGTAGTGGGCTGTGTACTCTGCCTGTGATAGCCTGCTAAAATTTTAAGACTTTGAAAGTGTTCATGGGGCAGACGGAAATGGTTAGCAAGGCTGAAAGGGAGCATGAGTGGCTTTAACACAACAACTTGCTACTTCTCCACATTAGCAGGATTACTCTAGAGAGTGCTAAGTTGTCATAGATTTTTATTCAGTGCAGAGTGTTAGAGAGGAGAGGCATTCACCCAGGTGTAAATTAATGATTCGCACATTGGACATGTAGAATAAATGCCTCAGCTAGCACTCTTTACATGAAAACATTAGGACTGAGAGGTATTAATTTTTCCAAGGTTGCATGGCTGTGTTGTAAGGAGACTGGAATCAGTTTCAGCTCATATCCTTAGTGTGGCAAGGACTCCTGGAAAGCATATGCAGAGGAGAGGCAGGAGATCTGAGAGGATCTTGTACTGAGCTCTGAGGGATGGAAAGAGGCAGAGAAAGCAGGAGTGACACATCTCTGCGTAGATGAAAGTCCTACCATCATCCAGCCTTAGCAGGCTGAGGTGCGTGGAGGGCCATGGTGACCAAGAAATAAGGGAAGTTATTCTATTTTAAATTGTTTCTTAAAGGATCATGAAATAATTTTACATTTTCATCACCATTTTTAATAAATTTAATTACTTTAATAACCTGTCAGTTCTGACTTTATTTTCCACTCTTAAAAATAGTGAAGAATGATTGTGCTGAAATTGTTTCTAGTTGTAGGAAACTTTTGCAAATATTCTAACTTCAAAATTCATACTGCTCAGTTAAATGAGATTTAAAGTGATTAATTTTTAAAAGTCAAGTGAGCAGTGTGATCCATGACTTACATCCGTAAAGAGAAGAAAGTACTTCATTTAAGAATTGACTTATTGCTGTGCCTGTCACAGCCCCAGGGATGGAACTGATTGGAGCAGTGAGGGAATGCAGGAAAGACTAGTACACAGAGATCCCGGGGCACGCAAGGAGGCTGGGATCCATGGTTCGGAATCTCCGGAGAAGCCTTGGAGCCCTGGAAGCTCAGTGTGTTCACTCCACAGAGCTGACAGAGAAGCGGGGTTGTTTTTTATAGTCAAACAAGGAGCCAGGGTTATAATAAGATAAACAAGGAGGCAGGGTATTCCCCTGAAGCAGTGTTAACTAATCATGCCAGAAGCAATCTCTCTAGGTCTTAGTTAGGGTTTCTGTTGCTATGAGGAGACACCATGACTACAGCAACTCTTATAAAGGAAAACATTTTTTTATTAATTACAGTTTATACACTTTTTATCCCCCCTGTAGCTCCCTTCCTCCTCCCCTCCCAATCCCACCCTCCTTCCCCCTTCTCCATCCATGTCCCTCCCCAAGTTCACTGATGGGAGAGGTCCTCCTCCCCTTCCTTCTGATCCTAGTCTATTAGGGCTCATCAGGAGTGGCTGCATTGTCATCTTCTGTAGCCTGGTAAGGCTGCTCCTCCTTCAGGGGGAGGTGATCAAAGAGCAGGCCAGTCAGTTCATGTCAGAGGCAGTCCCTCTTCCCATTATTATGGAATCCACTTGAACTGCCATGGGCTACATCTGTGCAGGGGTTCTAGGTTATCTCCATGAATGGTCCTTGGTTGGAGTATTAGTCTCAGAAAAGACCCCTGTGCCCAGATTTTTGGTTCTGTTGCTCTCCTTGTGGAGAAAGGGGGAGATAGAAAGGAAAATATTTAATTGGGCTGGCTTACAGGTTCAGAAGTATAGTCCATTGTCGTCATTGTGGGAAGTATGGTGACATGCAGGCAAACATGGCATGGGGGAAGGAACCCAGAATTTTACATCTGGATCAGCAGGCAAGAAGAGAGAGAGAGAGAGAAGAGAGAGGAGAGAGAGGAGGGAAAGAGGAGAGAAAGAAGAGAGAGGAGAGAGAGAGGAGGGGCAGCCCTTAGTTTGAGCATTTGAAACCCCAGAGTGCATGCTCAGTGATGCACTTCCTCCAACAAGGCCACACCTAGCCCAACAAAACACACTTCCTAGTAGTGCCACTCAGGAATGACCAAGCATTCAAATATAGGAGCCTTGTGGGGCAAACCACCCAGCAGGGGCGCAGACTCCAGGCCGTAACTATCAGGTGAGAGAAAGCTATGGTGGGCATTTCGGTGCACACTGCCAACAGTCAGGCATGGACCAGAGGAAGGTTTTGCTATCCTTCTGAGTCTATCCTAAGTATCCTAGGGAAAGGAGAGGGATGCCATTTCTCCCAGGGAAGCGATCTGAGACCAGAATTCTTGAGACAGCCAGTCCGATGTCAATAGCATACATTCGCTCAAACATGGAGGCTGCCTCCTCTCCACACTGTGTGTGGATGATGGCGCCTGCAGAAGAGTCAGATCCTGAATTCTATAAAGGCTGTGGTCACCTCAGGCAATGTGCTCCGGTCTAATAGGAAGGGTCATTTTCCATGGTAATTCATCATCTCTACAGAGTTCATTCCAGGATATTATAACTATGGTAATCACTGTATGAAAATTAAATAATAAAGCATATTAAATATGTAAATTTAAGATTCAATGCTGAAACTAGTTGTAAACATTTTAATTAAAACATTAAGAAAAGTATTTAGAAAAAGGACTGAACTTATTTTGAAAGTTCAATTTGAAAATAAACAGTAAATGTAAATTTAGATTAATTTCTTGTTAAGATAATTTAAACTCAATAGACCAGTTGTGGCTGCATGGACTGTGTTTAGTATTATGTAGTTTGTATTTTTATACAAGTTAATTTCCAAACTGAAAAATGCGTCAACATTTTTAAAAATTAAAAGTTAAAAAATCTTTATTCTACTGCATTCTTTTAAAAAATCATATAGTTATCAATATTGATAAATAATTAAATTATTGGTAGTTTAAATCTAATGTCATTTTCATTTCTTTGTAGTACATGTATTTTTTGATTCTCTGTTTTTTATTATTAATTACAATTTATTCACTTTGTATCCCAGCTGTAACCTTCTCTCTCATCTCCTCCCAATCCCACCCTTCCCTCCTTCTCCTCCTCCTATGCCCCCTTCCCTACTCCACTGATAAGAGAGGTCCTCTCCCCCTTCCCTTTGACCCTTTGACCCTAGCCTATCAGGACTGGTTGCATTGTCTTCCTCTGTGACCTAGCAAGGCTACACACACACACACACACACACACACACACACACACACACACACACCCGAGGGGAAGGTATTCAGAGAGTCTGCCACTGAGTTCATGCTGGAGACAGCCCCTGCTCCCCTTATTAGGGAACCCACTTAGAAACTGATTCTATTGGCTACATCTGAGCAGGGGGTTTAGGTCCTCTCCATGCATGGTCCTTGGTTGGTATATCAATTTCTGCAGGGCCCCAAGGGCCCAGTTATTTTTCTCTGTTACTCTCCTTTTGGAGAGAGATCCTGTCCTCTGCAGGTCTTTCTATTCCACCCCTTCATAAAATTCCATGCCCTCTGCCCAAAATTTGCCTGAGTCTCAGCCTCTGCTTGGATACCTCAATCAGCAGTCTTTCAGAGGCCCTCTGTGGTAGGCTTCTGTCCTGTTCCATCTTCTCCTGCTTCTGATGTCCATTGTGCTTGCCCTTCTGAATGATAAAAGCCTAGGGCCTGGTGGTTTCAGTGCAGAATTCTGCTAGACCTTCCAAGAAGAGCTAATGCCAATACTCTTCAAACTATTCCACAAAATAGAAACAGAAGGAACATTACCAAACTCATTCTATGAGGCCACAGTAATCTTGATACCTAAACCACACAAAGACTCACCCCCCAAAAAAGAGAACTTCAGACCTATCTCTCTTATGAACATTGATGCAAAAATACTCAATAAAAAACTCGCAAACAGAATCCAAGAACACATAAAAGATCTTATCCACCATGACTAAGTAGGCTTCATTCCAGGCTTAGAGAGGTGGTTCAATATACAGAAGTCCATCAATGTGATCCACCATTTAAACAAAGAAGAAAAACCACATGATTACCTCCTTACATGCCGAAAAAGCATTTGACAAAAGCCAACACCCATTCATGTTTGAAGTCTTGGAGAGATCAGGGATGCAAGGCACATACCTAAACATAGTAAAGACAATATACAGCAAGCCTATAGTCAACACCAAACTAAATGGAGAGAAACTTAAATCAATCCCACTGAAATCAGGAGTAAGGCAAGGCTGCCCACTCTCTCCATATCTCTTCAACATAGTACTTGAAGTCCTAGCTAGAGCAATAAGACAATTAAAGGAGATCAAGGGAATACAAATTGGAAAGGAAGAAGTTAAAGTATTTGTATATTTTTAAACCAACACAATCACAACTGAATAAGATATTTACAAAATATGGCAGTATAATGATCTGTGTTTTAGAAAGAAAAATTTGAACGCTAGATCTTTTATTATTTTGAAGAAACTGTAAAATTGTGCAATCTTAAGTCTTCCATTGTTTCTTTTCATTCTTGGGAGGTTTACATTTGCACTTTCAGTGGCTTCCAATGATGTGAACCTATTCCTGAGTATAGTGGAAAGAATATTTTTTGTAGCTTAATCTCTATGATAAGCTCGATTTTGGTTGAGAAATGATCTTCACTTTCATTGGGGGAGCACATGTTTCTCTTTTACTATGTGAGTCATATGACTTGCT